CTATTCAATTGTTTACAGCTATGCAAAATTTGGCGCGGCTGCGCTGCGTCGTTCGGAACCATTTTGGAAAAATCTTTAGAGGATCAATTTGACCCCCACCCGAGCGCGTGCTAAACCTCTCACATATGTGACTGTCTAGGTAGGTACTCGTATAGGTAACAGCGGTGCTGATTTTGTGCTGATTTTTCTGAAAGGTAGTTCCAGAACCGCACTAGCGGGCCGGCGCCAGTGTGCAATATCTATGCATGGGTATGGGCTTATCTATAACTAACTGGTTGGCCATAACTTATCGTTTATATAGAGAGAGAGAGAGAGAGAGAGAGAGAGAGAGAAGAGAGAGAGAGAGAGAGAGAGAGAGAGAGAGAGAGAGAGAGAGGAGGAGAGAGGAGAGAGAGAGAGGAGGAGAGAGAGAGAGAGAGAGAGAGAGAGAGAGAGAGAGAGAGAGAGAGAGAGAGAGAGGAGAGAGAGAGAGAGAGAGAGGAGAGAGAGAGAGAGAGGACGCTATGCAGGAAAGGCACAGCATGGGGACCACACTTGGGGACCACCCAAAGCGGGTCATTTGCAAAAACATCGAACTAGTCGTCAAGACAAAAAAGTGGAAGAAGAAGAGCGCTGAAAATTCACCAGTTTCGCATCGCTTGTCCAAGGTACAATTTAAATGCCACATTTTGTTTGGATGTTTGGTCCCAACATTTTGATCGGGTGGATTTCTAGGATCAGAGCGAGAGATTACGCTAGGAAGGGCGCGCTGCGGCAGTCTTTACCCCACCATGACATTGCGAAATCCAGTTGAATGGTAGGATTTTGTGGTGTAATGTGCCGCAATGCTCGACACGCTGCCCGCCCTAGGACCACATATGGACTTAAACGGCCGCTGCCGCCAGTCGCAGGCCATCTCAGTTAGTGGCAAATAGCGAGCGCTGAAGAGACTGAGCCCACTCACGCCGCCACTGCACGAGCACGTTAGGGGAAAGGCGATCTGACTAAATGGGTCGCGGGGTGGAACCGACCAACATCAGAAGTCCCGTTTGAAAACAGATGAGGAACACTTAAGAGGGCCTGAATCATTGCCAATCCCTATAAATTGATACCTGTCCATAAATTGTCGGTTTTAAAATGCACGCATAGGTTGGGTAGGCGTCCCTTCCAGCTGATAGACATGTATTCGTTAACAAATCAGTACCATTGGCTTTGCCAGACAGAAATATGGGGTCGAATAACAGGACCGGCCTGCCCTTAGCACTCTGTTCAGCCTCAGGTACCGGTCCCGCACCTTGTGTCGTAAATACTTGGGTCTTCGCAAGCATGTGTATCGTTTGTGGTGGTCTGCTGGTGGTATCAAACACGACATTTTGGTTTGCTACCTCGACACAAAACTGCGAAGTTTTGATAGTCAGAGCTTGATCGGCTGCCTCTACACTTATCACTGTTGTCGTTCCAATAATATTTCTAAGCTTTGGTCAGTGTGTGCGGCAATTTGAACTGAACGCCTCGTTCATTTGATCAGGTGAAATGTGAAATTGCCTTGTTACACCGTGCGTCTGCACGGCGTTCTCACTTGCTCACCTCACGTTCTCAGTTGCTCACCCCACGTCGGCGCTGGTGTTTAAGTGGATGCACGGAACCAGGGCCGTAGACAGCACAGACAACATGAAGATCGCCCAGTTCAGCCTGGAGGAGCTGACTGCCGAGCCGCCCGGCATTCTCAACTACACCACCGGTGGGTGTCACAGGCAGTCCAGCGTACTGAAATAGCATCACCTGTGGGTGTCAGGAGACGCCCGGTATTCTCAACTACATCACCGGTAGGTGTCACAGACAGCCTATCATGCTGAGATAGCAACACCTGTGAGTGTCAGGAAACCTCGTTATTCTCAGCTACGCCACCGGTGGGTGTCACAGGCAGCCTAGCATACTGAGATACACACCACCGGTGGGTGTCAGGAGGACGGCCGGCATTCTCAACAATACCAAGGCTGGGTGTCAGAGGCAGCTTAGCGTAATGAGCTGTACACCACCGGCGTGCGGCAAGAGACGCCCGGCGCTCTTGACTCCACGACCGCTTCGTGTCATGATCCGCTCAGCATTCTCAGCAACAGCACCAGTGGATGTCACGAGCTGGTCATGATACTAGAGTTCACCAGGGATGGGTGCCATGCCCAACGTGTTCAAATATGTTATTGCGTGTTCACTGAGCTATGGCATGCAATTCAGATTCGCAGCTAATTTCTCTTGCGCTGCATAATTAAGCAGTCGTGGCACAGGGTGTTGGATTGGCACCTGTGCGCTGGATCTATCAGTTCTGGGCGGCGGGTAGCACGCTCTTCATCCGTCCAGGTCAGTTCAGCACGCTGTCGGCACGGTTCCGGCTGAACCGGGAGAACGGCTACCATCTGCTGCAGACGTACATCCCGACCATCATGATCGTCTCCATCTCGTGGGTGTCGTTTTGGCTGGAGCAGACGGCGACGCCGGCCAGGTGAGCACGTGCCGCCCCGGTGTCGGCCGTGACCGCGCCGCGGAGGGGGGAGCGCTCCCTCTCGCCCGGGGGCTGGTGACAACTCCGGCGCCGCTCACACATTTACAGCGCTCCTCGGAATACAATAGTGCAACAGAACATCTGCAGCCCGGCAACCGGTGCTGCGTGTCCAAGATTTCAGTCATGCTGTTTGCATTAGTCGCAGAACTGGTCCACAAGTTTCGTTTGGTTGTGATTTGCTTTATATCGCCTTTGCCGTATTGCTGCCAATGTGACGGGAAGCCGCTTACGTGTGCACCCCTAATTCAATTAAATGACGTTCAGTACAGTTTCGTGTCGGGCCACGTATCATCACGAGCCTCTCTCGTGGAGTCAAGTTACAGTAAACTAAATGTGTCTACTGAATGCATCTAAACGTGTCTACTCACACTGACCTTAACAAATTCATAACTGACCCAAGCAGATGTTTTTCAAATGGCAAAAACCCCAAAAGATGCTGTTTAAGTGGCTAAACTCCAAACAGGCTCCAAACAAAAACCCAAACCTGTTCAAGTGGTAAAGATCCAAACAGATGCCGTTAAAATGGTAAAAGGATGTCATACCGTGGACATTGTGTATTTTACTTCAAATATTGATTTATATGGCCCGACAGGCTCTTTGCGAACCATAAGCACCTGGCGTGATGCCGTTGTTCGGCAGGCAGCTGCGGGGGAGCTCTCTGCCTGTGAAGGGACGCTGGCGTCGTTGTGGTTGTCGCAGAGCACAGCTGGGCGTTTTTTTTGGCAGAGCGCCGGTAGTAGCGTTTGCGTACTATGACGCTAGAATTGCAACTATTCCGCATGGACGTAAAGTGACATCAGCAGTCCTCCATCCTTGAACTCCAATCAAAAACAACAGTTGTTCCGCAGAGTGTAGTTGGCAGCGTGATAGTTGTAGAGAGTAACGCCATCATGTGTGGGTGCTCCGCAGAGTGACCCAGACATTTGGGCTGCTCCGCCGAGTGCCGCTGTCTGTATGTTTGCTCCACAGAGCAACCCAGACATTGGGCTGCCCCATCGAGTGCCGCTATCTGTATGTTCGCTCCGTAGAGTGATCTTTGAAAGTCCATTTAAAGGCCCACCCGTCCAAAAGAGACCGTTAAAAGCGTGCGTGTTTTGCAGGGTAAAGGTCACGGGCCGGCTGTTACGCACGGCGACGCTCACAGCACGGTCTCTCCTCACAGGAAGGCTGGGAGCATTTGCAGCGGCATTTAATACTGCGATGCTGTGGAAGTGCTGGTCTGAAAGAACCAGGAAAGCTAAAAAAAACATGATTAAGACCCAGCTGATTTACACAAATGGCCAGCATAGATGAAATGACATTGACTGAAGTGCCCCATGTCACTTTCACCAAAATGTGTCCGTGCGTGCTTCACTTGCTCACTTCACTTTCGTGTTTGCCTGCACTGGGCGGGTGCTCTTCCCAAGTTGGCAGAGGAGGCAGTCCACAGACGCCGAGCTATCGAAACATCAGCGTTTTAGAACTACACAGAAGGCAGCATTGGATAGCTCGCAATAGAGTGCATCATGCTCGTGTCATTAATCACATGTGGAAGCAACCTTTGACGGGACAAACCACGTCAATAGCGTACAGACCGTTAATGTAAACTTCTCCTGTCTTTACACTATGTTTGCTAAACGTGTGGAACGTTGCGTTGTGTAAACATTGCGTCACATAAGTCAACGGAAAAAGAATTTTGCGTTTTTTTACACCTTTCGGTCTTGAAGCTAGATCAAACTGTCTCATGGGTTGAAGAGACACAGCGCATAACGCTGGAGATTTTATGAATTTTACAGATCGCCACTGTGATGCAGGGCATGTTCTTCATCTCAGTGCAGCAATGACCTTAAGAGCTTCATGGTTTGTCGCCTTGCTGGTCGAGTGACGCAATGCTGGCAGAGCCAGATGCCTTTCGGGCTCCTCTGCCTTCAGCTGTAAAGAGTCGGGGGTGGGTGGAGCCGGCGCGCGGGCCCGGTCACTGCTGGGCTGGGCCCGGCGGGCCTCAGATGTGTGCTGGCTGTGTGGTACCCATGGGGACATCTGATGATGTGCGGGGGATTGCTGCGGTCGCTACAGATGGCGTGCGAAACAATATGTGTCAGGGAGAGCAGACCAGCCATTTATCAAGCTGTTGATCTTGGCTTGGTGCTTCTTGATGAGGGCTTCTGTGACTTATCGTGCTCACATCTGGGGAGCATGCGAGTGCGCCACCGGCTTCACGAGATTTTGAGCGCTTAGAGCGCTTCAGGGGTTTCTCAGGGGCTATGGAGCAGCCGGGTTTCGAACACGGACCCCTATGTGAGAGTCAGAGGCGCTAACCCCTCGGCTATCTCGCCCTGGCAAGAAAAAATTGCCATCTCGTATATTTGAAACTTTTGTGTTCGTATTTGTTTGGTCGCGTCATTATCCCTCTAAGATGCCAACGGCCCGCACCCAGTTTTGTTATGAACACAAATTTTTCTGGTATCTGCTCTCCGCGAAGGTTTTATCATAAACGATGTTGGTGTATCTAAGAATGTGACTGAAATGGCCTGTCACCAACCAGTAATATGCGTGGGTTACTTTTTAGGATTTCCATCCGTTGGCCATTAAAGTGTAAAACATAATTATCATTTCGACGAATAACAACTTTTTTCGTAACGCCAAGACGGAACGACCGCCTTGTGCGTCAGGCTTTGTGTGTGCATAATCGGTTATATATTTGCGTGTCGCTAAACCTTACTCCACTCACCCTCTAGCCCCGCCCTTATCATTTGCGCTGGTTCGATTACGAGCATATTCAACTGCTAATGTTGCTGCGCTACACACATATTTGCCTGATGGTAATGCATTTTACTGACGGAATCGTTCAATGTAAGGTGCACATTAGCTCTTAGCCTTCTTTCAAGCGCCTACAATTGAAAAAAGTGGGCTGAAGGAGTGACGAACCCTGCTCATTTCCTGCGACGATCTGAAGTATGGTCGGGGGCGCAGCAGATCATGGTGAGAGAGGGGCACCGCGGTTAACATAAGGCCCTGCTGGTGGAATGGCAACAGGGAATCCAATCCTGCCGAAATCATCCAAAACTGAGCTGCCGGATAAAGCAGTTAGCCGAGGCCTTCAGAGGGACACATCATACACCGGTCCCATCCCTGATGCGGCAGGCCCTCTAACCTGGACATCCGGCACAACATCGACACAGGGGCTGTCACTGACGCAAAAGGATCCCTTGCTGGTGTAGGGATCCACATTGTCACGACTGACACCAAGACGCCATTTCGACAGGGGCCCTTCGTTCGGCACTACGATCTCTGACTGGCACAGGCCCACTGTCTCATTGTGAGTGCGAACACCTGGATCGTCCTTTCTCATGTTTCTTTCTCCCTTTTTCTTTATCTTTCCCATTCTTTCATTTTCAGGAGGGTCTTGAGCAGGGTGAGAGGCCTTTTGAAGCTCGGGGTCTCGCTCTCGTCTCTGTTCAGCCAATGTACTACCCCCGACTTGGCGCCCATTGCCCACACAGGATCCCTGTAAGACACTGTGGCCCTGTGAGCCCCTGAGTGACGCTGACACTGTGGCCTGTGGCCTGTGAGCTCCTGAGTGACGCCGACACTGTGGCCTGTGGCCTGGTCCCAGAGTGACGCTGACACTGTGACCTGTCGCCTGTGAGCCCCTGAGTGACGCTGACACTGTGACCTGTGGCCTGGTCCCCAGAGGTGACGCTGACACTGTGACCTGTCGCCTGTGAGCCCCTGAGTGACGGCTGAACACTGTGACCTGTGGCCATGGTCCCCAGCAGTGACGCTGACACTGTGACCTGGGGCCTGTGAGCCCCTGAGTGACGCTGACACTGTGACCTGTCGCCTGTGAGCCCCTGAGTGACGCTGACCTGTGAACCTGTGGCCTGGTCCCCAGAGTGACGCTGACACTGTGACCTGTCACCTGTGAGCCCCTGAGTGACGCTGACACTGTGACCTGTCGCCTGTGAGCCCCCTGAGTGACCGGCTGACACTGTGGGGACCTGGTGTGGCCTGTCCCCGGAGTGACGCTGACACTGTGACCTGTGGCGGTCCCCGGAGGACGCTGACACTGTGACCTGTGGCCTGGTCCCCAGAGTGACGCTGACACTGTGACCTGTCGCCTGTGAGCCCTCCTGAGGACGCTGACACTGTGACCTGTCGCCTGTGAGCCCCTGAGTGACGCGACACTGTGACCTGTGGCCTGGTCCCCGGAGTGACCGCTGACACTGTGACCTGTCGCCTGTGAGCCCCAGAGTGACGCGACAATGTGACCTGTGGCCTGGTCCCCAGAGTGACGCTGACACTGTGACCTTCGCCTGTGAGCCCCTGAGTGACGCTGACACTGTGACCTGTGGCCTGGCCCCCAGAGTGACGCTGACACTGTGACCGTGGCCTGGTCCCCAGAGTGACGCTGACAATGTGACCTGTCGCCTGTGAGCCCCTGAGTGACGCGGACACTGTGACCTGTGGCCTGGTCCCCAGAGTGAGCTGAACTGTACCTGTCGCTGTGAGCCCCTGAGTGACGCTGACACTGTGACCTGTTGCCTGGTCCCCAGAGTGACGCTGACACTGTGACCTGTCGCCTGTGAGCCCCTGAGTGACGCTGACACTGTGACCTGTGGCCTGGTCCCAGAGTGACGCTGACACTGTGACCTGTCCCTGTGAGCCCCTGAGTGACGCTGACACTGCGACCTGTGGCCTGGTCCCCAGAGTGACGCTGACACTGTGACCCTGTCGCCTGTGAGCCCCTGAGTGAACGCTGACACTGTGACCTGTGGCCTGGTCCCCAGAGTGACGCTGGCACTGTGACCTGTGGCCTGGTCCCCAGAGTGACGCTGGCACTGTGGCCTGTGGCCTGTGAGCCCCTGAGTGACGCTGACACTGTGACCATGTGGCCTGGCCCCCAGAGTGACGCTGACAATGTGACCTGTCGCCGTGAGCCCCGAGTGACGCTGACACTGCGACCTGTGGCCTGGTCCCCAGAGTGACGCTGACACTGTGACCTGTGGCCTGGTCCCCAGAGTGACGCTGACACGTGGCCTGTGGCCTGTGAGCCCCTGAGTGACGCTGACAACTGTGACCTGTGCCTGGCCCCCAGAGTGACGCTGACACTGTGACCTGTGGCCTGGTCCCCAGAGTGACGCTTCGCCAAGTGACCTGTGTCCCCCTGTGAGCCCCTGAGTGACGCTGACACTGTGACCTTTGGCCTGGCCCCCAGAGTGACGCTGACACGTGACCTGTGGCCTGGTCCCCAGACAGTGACGCTGACAATGTGACCTTCGCCTGTGAGCCCCTGAGTGACGTGACACTGTGACCTGTGGCCCGGTCCCAGATGGACGCTGACACTGTGACCTGTGGCCGGTGAGGCCCCTGAGTAGTGACGCTGACACTGTGACCTGTGTCCTGGTCCCCAGAGTGACGCTGACACTGTGACCTGTCGCCTGTGAGCCCCCGATTGACGCTGACACTGTGACTGTGGCCTGGTCCCGGGTGACGCTGACACTGTGACCTTTGGGCCTGGTCCCCAGAGTGACGCTGACACTGTGACCTGTCGCCTGTGAGCCCCTGAGTGACGCTGACACTGTGACCTGTGGCCTGGTCCCCAGAGTGACGCTGACACTGTGACCTGTGGCCTGTGAGCCCCTGAGTGACGCTGACACTGTGACCTGTGGCCTGGTCCCCAGAGTGACGCTGACACTGTGACCTGTGGCCTGGTCCCCAGAGTGACGCTGACACTGTGACCTGATGGCCTGGTCCCCTGAGTGACGCTGACACTGTGACCTGTGGCCTGTGAGCCCCTGAGTGACGCTGACACTGTGACCTGTGGCCTGGTCCCCAGAGTGACGCTGACACTGTGACCTGTGGCCTGGTCCCCAGAGTGACGCTGACACTGTGACCTGTGGCCTGTGAGCCCCTGAGTGACGCTGACACTGTGACCTGTGTCCTGGTCCCCGGAGTGACGCTGACACTGTGGCCTGTGAGCCCCTGAGTGACGCTGACACTGTGACTTGTGGCGTGGTCCCCAGAGTGGACGCTGACACTGTGACCTGTGGCCTGGTCCCCAGAGTGACGCCGTGACACTGTGACCTGTGGCCGGTGAGCCCCGGAGTGACGCGGGGGGGTGACAACTTGCGACCTGTTGGGCCTGGGCCCAAGACAGTTGACGCTGACACTGTGAGCCTGGGTGGCCGTGGTCCCCAAGAGTGAACGCTGGGAGTGAACCACGCTGCTGACTTTGACGTCAACTGGCAGCCGGCGTAAACGCATCGAGTTGCCCCTGTCTCCTACCTCAAGGTATCGTGGTGGTGGAAGAGCCCACCCAAGCGGCATGTACAAATAATTAGCTGGTTTGAATGGCCACACCCAAACATAACGTAGTTTTGTATATAAAGCAATTTCACACACCAGTTAATGGATGCGTTTGAAAGTTAGATATGCAATACGGACAGAAAAAATAGCACATACATGCCACAATTAACCATGGTGCATTGAAGGAGACGGGCGTCTGGGGCAAGTGTCCCCTAATGACAATTTGGACGCGTCTTGATATAGTGATGAATCATATTGGCTCATAAGATTCTAGAATACACGGGAAACACATAGTTTAAAATAATGCAATGCTGTCAAAAGAAATTTTCCGCGGCTGCCTCGCGTCTAAACGGCAATTTTTGGAAAAGTTGATTGATAGAGGAACAGTAACCAAACGTATTACGGCAAATTTTGAATGGAGGCCGAAACAGACAAAAGTTTTGCCTTTAAGACATCCAACAGGGAAATGTTTCGAATAAAGAAATGTCACAAAAAACTAGCACAAGTAAAAAAACACGAGTTTTATGCATCTAGACAATCTCGTTGAAAAAGGCTTCAGACATGAACAATTTTAACCTATGCGCAGCACACCGTAGGACCAATAATGGTCACCTAGGATGGACAGGCGCTAGGCAAACCTCACTGAGAGCGTAGAAATGTAACAGAGTGGACACTTATAGGAATGTGTGGTACAAGCTGCCACGACGAGGCAGTGTGTTCGAATCTGGTTTATGTTGACAAATGGCCATTTATTTGATAATCTTTAGTCTAACCTCATTTTTGCGAGTGCGCAGACCTTTGAGGGTTAGGGTTTCCGGTGAGAAGGAATGTAATATATTGGTCGTGTAGGATGTAAACGCCGACAGGAGTACCACAAAATATTTATCGCGTCTCGAAGATGTAGTTATACCTGGCACGTACGTAACTGCTATCCTTTCGCCATTGCGGGGGATTTTTTGCTCAAGGGGTGCCCGAATGGTACGTTGCCTGGTAGAGGGTGACGTGGGTTGCGCACCTGCCCACCCCACCCGCCTGACAGGCGTCATATGTTTGGTACCTGGGGCAAGGGTAGGATCAAGGGCAGACTGAACAAGCTGATGTATTGTCCGCCCACTTTTCTTTTCTACTCGAACGGGAAGAACAGATGAGCATTTCACTGAACTGACTATTTTGGTTAAGCTTGTATCCATGCATGGAAACGATGTGAATGTGTTGTCGCTCATTCGATATGCATTTATGTCATCACCATCTGTCATATGGGTGCGAAGGATTGCCTTTTATCGCAGGGATAGCCAAGTACTGCCGATTCAATGGCTATTTATCGTCACAAAATCGGAACTTGTGTGTTTTAATGTGTCAGTATGCATGCTTTTATGGGCCAGTCCCGTGTATGTCGGTTGCCTGGTGTATGCATAACTCATGTGTGTTAGGCTCATGCATGGATATACATATATATATATATATATATATATATATATATATATATATATATATATATGATGTACATATGTGTCGTGCTCATGCGTAATGATCGGTCATATCTGTCATTATGTATACGTATGATGTGTCACGATATTTCATCGGTCATGTATGTTGCTGCTGTGAATTAGGCGAATGCTGGACAGCCCCAAAGCCTCTTTTCCGATCGTCGAGAGTGTACAAAACATGAGCTTTTGAATTTTACTAGCTTGTGAAGCCTTGTCGAGAAACTGAACTGATTAACACGCGCTCGAGTGGGTGTCAATTTGAGCTCACAAAGGTTTCTTCCAAAATGGTCTCCGAACAGCACGGCGTAGCCGCGCTAAATTTTGTGCAGCTGTCGGCAATTATTAGTGGATCGTTTGATATAAGAAATTTATATGTGCCTTGTAAGGTCGCTGACCTACGAGAGGTCAAAGTCAGGCCATGGATTCCGCGAAAACAATTTCTAGGGAATCCTTCAATCTGATGGAAGAACGGAGTGTTAGACGAGGTCATACATCTCTGAGATAGTTTCTTAGGGAACGCAACAATTGATTGAACAAACTCCATTGACCTTGGGTCAAGTATGAAGGTTAAAACCAAATTCTAAACAATCTGCTTTGCTACCTTAGATCTTGCTGTATGGGGTAGTTTCTGGCGCTCATTTCGAATCTAGTGATAACATGAAACCACATTATACATATTCTATGGACTTATTAAAGAGCAGGAAAGGTCACTGATCTTAAATGACCCAGGTCGACATTTTATATTTGGGAACATACTGCCTACCTTCATCTTTGACGCTTGCTCAAACATAAAACTCAAAGCAGTCTTGTATCATTTTGGTCACCATGACCTGCGAAAGGTCACTTCCCTGAAATGGGCACCACTGACCTTTTTCTCAGAACATTTATCTAGGTTTTGGGCATACTTTGAGCACCAATTTGTAGTTCGACCCTTTTTGACCTTATCTGACACACTGATTAAGAAATGCGGGTCAAGCATCTGCTCTGTCAATGACGCCGATTGCCGTTAGAATGACGCAAATGTCGCGAGACTTTTTATTGGCCTTCATCCATCAATCAAGTTTCTTTATCGAGTGTTAGCTTTGCGCTCAACAGGCTTGAGCACCGGTATTGAGTGGACCGGTTTTAGTCCTTGCAATGTTGCCAGGAGTGACGAGCCTCCTTTGATGAGGATCAGTAGCCCGCATGCCTCGCACCATTACGGTTATTGAATGAGTCCTGCCAGCGTCGTTAACGGGTGAGCACACAAAGCTTATCCATTGCGAGCGTTTGAAGAGCATGACGTCTTTAAAGCAGCTTAAGCTTCGGTGAATAATTTGAAATACGAGTTCCGGGCCGCAGAAGCGGAGGGCCAGCAACCAACCAGGATCCGGGTGTCGCTAAGTCTGCGATATTCTTTTGAAGTTGAAGTTGGATCATGTGGTACACGAAAAAAAACAGACTCCATAAAAAGTTCACATTCTTAACTGGCCCTTACCAAGCCCTCGGCATTTAGCAGTTAACTCTGTTCTCTTAAAATTCGAAGAATTAGCGCCAATATTATATGCTTCTATGAGCTAAGCACTGCTATGCAGCACTTCGCAGCCCTAGGGGCGGGGAAATGCGTGGAGGAGCATCCACCATCGACTCCTGGGAGGCGCTCAAATCTGTTTTGGGACAAATTTCAACTTTGATGTCACTTGTTGATGCCACTCGTAATGAGATTAGTGAAGGATAGTGCAAGGTTGGTTTCTTTTCGTCATCTTTTGCGGGCGGGATTGCATGACCTAGTTAGATCTCCTTCAATATGCATCAACTTACGTTTTTGGGGTACTAGTGGTTAGCCTTCTTCTTGAAGGCATCCTTTGAGCTTATGTCTCCAGGTCTACACCGAATTCAGCCGAACTTTGTGTTGTTCAAACCACAACATGCGGGAATCATCCTTTGAGTGTCACCGGTCATACTCACAGGTGTCTTTCCTGAATGCTTACTGATAGTCCTTACCAATGATTCCACGGTTCGCTGTCGTCTTACGGGATGTGGCTGCGTTTGCCTCTAGCTCTCTTGGTTTTCGGGATCTGAGGAGCCTCTCAGACCCCTCCCCCCTCACACGGCAAGGGTAAAAAGCTTTTAAAAAAGAGGGCATTTATTTTAGCCCACTTACTCTCGAGCATGAGTTTCACTGAATAAGCTTTAATGCATAAAAACTGGCTAAGCAATGCGGCGTGAGCCGACTGGTAAGCCTGCCCTGAGTAATCAGCATGGCAGGTCGAAGCGGTCTAACAGGCCCACAGCAGCATGACAAGTCATGCCAGCATGACAGTCCACATCAGCATGACAGAGCGTGCCAACATGACAGTCCACATCAGCATGACAGTCCACATCAACAGACTTGCAGCAACTCATGTGTAGTGGTGGTGTTTCGAAAACATGGAGGAAATATGTGGGCCTGTTGACCATCATTCTATGCTTATAGGCGCTGGGAAATCCGCATGCTTTCCGCTCTTTCCTATCAACCTAAACACGGGGAATATACTGGTCCATTAGAAGTTTCCGACTTTGCGCATACACGTGAAACGAATGTCCACATTGTAAAATTCAATACCGCTGTGCTAGAAAATACCTAGAGGGGAAAATGACAATTTTTTTAACCGCCTATCAATAATATATGCCTGCATTATTAGCCAGATTGAGTGACTTTAAGAATGAAGTAGCAATTTATGTTCGGCGAAAACAATATAGGACAGCGACGCGTCGCAAGATAATACTGGATTCATACAGTGTTGCATTAAGCTTATTGAACATGGTATGGAGCGTTTTGTTAGATTGGCTTTTTCAATAAAGTAAGATAAGCACATCACGGAGTGTTGTATATCAAAACGTAGGTTGCGGTCGTCCAGCCATCATAAGGTTTTTTTTCCGGCTTTCGATGGCCACGTAACTGTCCGATGATACTTAATTGTCCGATAACCACCAGCGTCGCAGTCTCCATGCAGCTCGTGTGCGCGCGATGAATATAACAGGTTCTCCATTTTCATGAGATGTAATGGTTCTTCGGAATATGATCGCACATTCCCCGAGAGCTGGAGTGAAACCACTGCCACTTTGTTCGCTCCGAAATTCACAAGCAGATCATCATGCTAAAGATGCATGTACTTACCTAACCAGACAGAAGTAATATTCCAACTGGTGCATATGCTTCTTCAATAAGAAAACATTTTATTTGTTGGTGGCTAGAGTCCACAGATCAACAATGAGATAACGCAGCACGAAGCCTGCGTATTGCGGCGCTTGAGAGGCCCAGGCCACAAAAAGCATGATATCGTACAGTTGCCTTTAAGCGTGACGTTTCCATCAGACGTTCTCAGTAGCCGGTCATCATTAACAGGTAGTATGCTGAAGATAAAAGACTGCTTAGCTCAGTCATTCCGTCCCTGCTGTTTCCCCTTTCAGCGTCGGTGTTGATAGAATATGTCTTCCTTTGGAAGAGGGGAAGATCCCTTCTTCAAATGCTCGATAAGCAGGTGTGCGTTCATGTATGCATGCACCAGTTCATCAGACTTTGTCATGGTAAAAGAACGCCCTATGTCTGTTCCGTGCGGCGAATGCTGCCTTTTTCGACCGTGGGTCGTTGCCGATTCTGACCACTGTGCTGATTTATCGTGAACCTTATATTCAAGTTTCTGACTTATCGGTCATCAGCAGCCACAAATGCTGCATTGCATATATGCATGGATTGGCTTTTCAGCTCCGCCGGACCGCAGGCATCATTTCCGTATCATATATGCAGAGCTATGACAGGACTGTACCGAGTCAGAACTATGCGCGATTTTGCTGTCCAGCCTCCGATCGTCATTGGTGGGACGTTTTTGTGTTCTAAGGAGCTCTCATTAGTCACGGCAACGGTCTCCCCTCCTCACAAGCGACCGCCCCCAACCAGTGGTGGCTGCCTTCGGGCCTAACGGTGACGTCTTGCCTCACAGGTGACCGCGGTCCGAGCAGTGGTGACTGCCTTCGGGCCTAACGACGACGTCCTTGCCTCACAGGTGACCGCGCCCGAGCGGTGATGGCTGCCTTCGGGCCTAACGGTGACGTCCTTGCCTGACAGGTGACTGCGCCCGAGCAGTGGTGACTGCTTTCGGGCCTAACGACGACGTCCTTGCCTCACAGGTGACCGCGTCCGAGCAGTGGTGACTGCCCTCGGGCCTAACGGTGAAGCCTCGCCCCATAGGGACTGCGCCTGAGCAGTGGTGGGTGGCTGCTTTCGGGCCTAACGATGTGTGCTCTGCCCCCCAGGCGATCGATGTGTGGATCGGCGTGTGCATGTTTTTCGTGTTCGGCGCTCTCCTGGAGTTCGTGCTGGTGCACCACCTGGCCAAGAAGCGCAAGTTCCCCGGTCGCCAACGCAAGAGCGTCAAGGAGATGTTCTTCTCCAGCGACGACCCAGAGCCAGGGCAGCCCGGCGCCAAGAAGCAGACCCACGTGGCGCAAGCCAAAGTCGTGGACAGGGTGTGCCGCGTGCTCATGCCATTCGCGTTCATCACCTTCATGTTATCTATTGGACCTACTACGGCCTCGGCTAGGATGCGGTATGGCAGGGTGGTGGCTGCCGGTGGCGGTGGTGGCGACATGCGCGCTTCGATGACGGGTAGCTGACGTGGAGGGTGCAGGCGTGGATGGCGTTGGACCGGGAGGACGGCTGACGAGGTGTTTCGCTGTGCGGTGATAATGGACGAGGCCCCGGTGGCCGTTGTCAGCAGCGGCGTAGCACGGCCTCGGGCAACCAGTTGGCGGCTGCTCATACTCATCCCGAGCACCTGACAGCATTCAGAAACTGGAAGCAAGGCACTCAAAGTTCGTTTGGAAGCAGGCGTCGGTGTGACATGAGGGACTTCTAGCAGCCAACAACGGCGGATTTTCGGAAGAGATGGGAGGGCAAACCCAATTGTGACATGACGTCTTTCCATGTATCTCCGCATGGTTGGTGTTAACCCTCTAGAGATGCGGCTCTCCCTCGTCGTTTCCCCTCCAATGATACCGTTCCTGATCACTTCGAACGATTATATAATGTTTTTTCCACACTGACTTTCGCCCTTTGAAATCGCACATTAGCAGTTCTCCTGGATACCTCTCCGAATTAGCCTGCTTATGCTTGTTATGCCTGCATGATATGAGGTGGCGAGTAGGTGCTGGGTCTTATTTGCCCGACCTATTAAGGCCCTTGGAGCATGAATTAAGGCATATTTCGCATTCGTATCTCCACCGGCTGTACATCAGAAACGCAAATGTTCCGGGCTGCGAGTTGCTGATCGACTCAGGAACAATTGTGCGGCGCTTGACACCCGCTGTCAGATGCTAGCTACTGCTTCAGACCTCACCTTCCTTCCCCTTACCGGCTGTAGACCTGGCTACATCCTGCTGGCTATTGCTCTATTATCGCGCTGGTATCTAAAGGCCATCAGTGCTACCAGTGGACTTACACTCGATATTTTGCATGCTGCCATAGCCTAGTCTGCTTAGAAGGGTGTTGGAAATGTTTGCCTTGCCACCAACATGGAAACCACCTTTTCTGCGAAACGTACGGTATTTAAAGCCTGTGATGTTTCAAACCATTTGCGGTCGGATCAACCATCTGTTTGTCCCATTATTGTCATCAAGTGTCCTTTTCGCAATGTGTAAAATGTTTGCGAGACTAAGATGGTCCAATCTGTTCGAATGCGTTGGTATAAATAACTTTTGCACGAAGTGTCCCCATAAACATCCCACGCTCCGTGTTCGCCGCTTGAAATTATATCTTATGATTCAACATATAATATAAATTTAAAACTCGCCTGAACAGGACACACGCGCCGAAATATAGTGAACTTTGCGGCTTATTTATTGTATTTCATTCATGTCTGGGAATGCAGTGGAGAGTGTGCGGTATCGCATTTGCGGCGATCAAGAAATTAGACACCTGACTCGGTGAGTTAGAAGGAACAGCCAGCTTCTCGCAGCTCGACATCGTGCGAGGGACAAACTATGTGACACGAGGCCGGCTTGTCATTTACATCGTTTCACCTGTAGAAGTATTATCATGACACACTACTGTTTCAATTCATCATGCCCCATAAACACACCAGCTAATGACCCTACACATTTCCATCATGTCCGTTATGTGGGCCCAAGTGCTATTCCGTGCTAACGTGTTGTCGAGTGATGTATTCCAACATACCCGCTGTGCCAGCCCTTTAGCACGTTCATGCCAAATATATGCTCAATTGGACGCCTGTGTGGATAGCAAGTTTAACAAAATCAATTAATAAAATACTATGTTAGAGGAGTTCCCCATAACTTAACAAGCTTGTTCAGGAGTTGACATCCAGAACTTTGCCGACTGCTGTTGCTCATTCTCAGTTAGGCTAAAAGGCATGCTGCAGCATACGCGTTCGCTGATGTGATCGCGTGGAACCTCGACCTCAGAAGGCATCAGTATACGCTTTCACGCCTCTGTCAGCATAGCTAGGCAGCCATTCGATGATGGTTGCAAAATGATGTCATGCGGTTATTGAGCGATAAGTTAAGAGCGATGATATAAATTAAGTTAAGATAAGAGCCGCTCGTTCCGGAGGACTTGGCCTGCAGCTGCTTTGTCGGCAAGTGACCCGCAGTTGTATGCACACTGTCGCAGCAACGGGTGTGCATCAGTGGTTTGTATACCGTGCATACCTAAGTACCTAGAACGAAAACCAAACAATGATATGCGTGTTGTCTGACCCATTGCAATTTCTCGGGATCCTTCGCACGTTCAGCGTTTCCAAAGCACCGTACTCAGCTGGCCATTTATTGATTGGTTATAAAAGCGAGGCAGCCATTCGTATGACAAGCTGGATGCGGCAGAAATTCAGGCGATATGCAGCAGACCCTTTCGTGAATTTATGCCAATTTCCCGAAGTACTCAAGCATACCTACCACCACATAACCCGAGAGCATTTAGTGAATGAACCGACAGCCTGTGGCGTCGCCTCCTGGACGGTACCCGGCAGATCAGCAGATCCCAGCTATGGGATCGCGCGGATCGACGCAGTCCTCGGGTGATGCGGAGTAGGCAGATGCTGGCGGAACGACGCGGCCGTCGGCGGTCCGACGAGCACACCACAGCTGGCGGGAGCTCTGCGCCAGCTGCGGGCGACAGCTGCGCCTATCTCCGTGAATATGTGTGGCCGCCGCGGCACCGGCAACCACAGACCGCTCTCGCCGGCCTCCCTGACCGCTCTCGCCGGCCTCCTTGGCCGCTTGTGTGTACCGGAGTCGTGTGTGGGGCTCGCTGTGCCATGGACGGGCTTGTGTACCTCCACGTCTATTGGCTTAAACAAGGGATTTAGGACCGTTGTGTGGGATAAAATGACGTAAAACACTGTTATAGCACTGTGGATACCCATAGCAATAAGTTAAAGGAGGTTCCACCTCCGGCTGCAGCCACGTTCGGGTAGCGACGTTAGTTAAAGCAAACATACATCGAGAGCTTCCATCCACATATGCGTCTTTCGCGCGTCCAACAACTTTGTACACGGTGCGAAAGAACGGCACGCTTGGGGCACGCATGCTGTTCTTACTCTGGAGGTACTGCATCAGCGAAGCAGCATCACGGTCAAGAAGCGGGTCATATGCGCCACCGTCACCCACCGCTGGGAGCAGGAGCGATGGCAGCTTCAGGGGCAGTTTCACAGCACTGGGCGCGGCTAACGACGGCTTCGTCTCAGCTTGGCTTCTCTGTCACACTCGCAGGCGGGCACTCGTCGGAACGGGACTATTCAGAGGGCAGGGCTGCCAGCGGACCGCCGCTGCCATCGGGTGGTGGCGCGGCGGGGCCCCCTCACTTCAGCACGCTGTAGATGGACTGGATGTAGGCGAAGACGCTCTTCCAGTCGGGCTTCTCCATGGCCACCATGTCGTCGGGCTCCAACAGAGGGAAGATGCCGGCTCTCTCGCTGACCGGTCAACAGAGCCATTGTCACGGCACGCCATGATGGGTCACGATATCTTTAAACAAGGTTCATGAGCATCCTCGGTCGCACACACACAAGTCACTTCACTCAGTACGTGAGCTAAAAGCTTTGCATCGGTGGCAAGGAATCATAAAAAATAAGGGTAAAAATGGTCATACACCACGCTAATTTTTCTTTACAGAGCATTCCAGACGCGGGATTTTGTGCTCTGCTGGGACGCCATACAGAGGTAATCTACCACGTTTAGGAATCACTTGCTGTTGTACAAATTTGAGGGCCTGAAAGGCAATTGTGCGAGCGGCGCGCGTCGAGCGGTATAGCGGATTTAGCAACGTTCGGCGGGTTTGACTCACTCGGCGGTTCTGAAGGCCAAGTCGAAGTTGTAGCGCCGATTTCTAGGATCCAGCTTGCTGAAGTCGAAGGCGTCCGGGAAGAAGTGATGAATGAGCGCGCAGAACGCGATGCCATCGCTCCAGCTGGTGGAGAAGTTCTCCACCTTCACTGTCTGGAAAATTCACACGGTCCGAAAGTGAAAGGATGCAGAAGCGCTGAAGGTCCGTTTCTATGCGTCTTCTTCTGCACGGTGAAACCTGAGCGTCGAAAAGCTTTGTACGATGCTTGTGATGCAGGTCAAGAAAGGCAATCCCATGCAAACCTAAGTTGAAATGTGCAGGCAACATAGCATTGAGACATAGAGACATCGCATCGAGAGTTCTTGAAAAGAACATGAAAGCGACTACGGAAAGGCTTCGCAACAACAACACTTAAGCAACTTGAATGCGTGCCGTTTGAACGCTTATGGATCAAGTGCGTCCCCTTGAAGCCTCTCGAGCAGAAACTGGGAATACAAAACGTGGGCCTTATTGGTGTCCTAAACAAAGTTTAGTTCCCCAACAGGCGCTGGACGGAGAGCAAGACAATCTGCTCTGTGTGCTGGCTCACCTTGTAGTCCCTCAGCCGGCACTGGACCCAGAACAACATGACCTCCTTGGTGCCCTGACCCTGAGGGGCGATGTCCAGCTCAAAGCCATCCCTGGAACAGTCCATTGGTTTGCTGCTATGTCTGCCCCTTCAAACGAGGTCCTAGCAGGTGTCGCGACAGTGAACATAAGCAATCCACACAGACCAGATAAAACAACAGTGGTTACACAGCCCAGCCACTCCTTGCATGCGTGTCGTAGCTTATGTGTTTACTGTGCGCGCAGTGCATATGCCGCTATGCAGTGCATCACCACAACGGCTGGGCCACTTCTTAACCCGGCTGACGGTGTATCTTAACGGCCGCTTACTAACCTCGCTACACTAATGGTGTATTTTACAAGCATCAACCAACTGGACGTCGAGAGTTCTGTTACATCCGATAATCTACCAGTCAGATCGAATGCGTTCAACGGCGGTCGGTGACGCGGTTCATTTCCGTCTTGAAAACATCGTGCTGCCGTACGCCATACGACTGGCAAAGTCTCAGTGCCCGTGAGTTATCACGAACGTTACCGGAATCCGTCCGTACAAATAGCATTGTGTAAAATGGCATTTGCAGCTACGTGTAAAAACGGACCGCAAATATAATTTTACACGCTTATGAGTGACCTTACGTGACTGCTGTTGGTGGACTGGTGTTATCTCATCCCGCGTGATGGACAGCTGTCACACATGATGATCATTTGA